TCGGTCCCTATTCATTGGGGTTTATCCCGGTGAACAAGAGGGTGGCCTCTCTCCGCATACGTGTGGGGGGACGCGTTCTGACTGTTGTTTGTGCTTATGTGCCAAACAGCAGTTCAGATTACCCACCCTTTCTGAAGACCTTGGGGGGTACTGGAGAGTGCCCCTCCTGTTGACTCCATTGTTCTTCTAGGGGATTTCACCGCTCACATGGGCATCGACAGTGACACCTGGGGAGGAGTGGTTGGGAGGAATGGCCCACCTGACCTGAACTCAAGTGGTGTTCTGTTGTTGGACTTCAATGCTGGTCATGGATTGTCCATAACAGACACCATGTTGAAGCATAAGGGTGTCCATATGTGCTTTTGGCACCAGGACACCCTAGGCTGTAGTTCAATGATCGAATTTGTTGTTTTTTCATCTGACCTGCAGCCGCATGTCTTGGACACTCAGGTGAAGAGAGGGCCGGAGCTCTCCACCCACCACTACCTGGTGGTGAGTTGGCTCCGACGGTGGGGGAGGACGCCGGTCAGACCTGGCCTGGGAGCATCTTGGGAACTGGGCCTCCCTACTGAAGCTGCTACCGCAGCAACCTGACCCAGGATAAGCAGAAGATAGACGTATAGATGAATAGTTGTTACTGAACTTGTGAGGCTCATACAAACTGCAGGTATTAGGTATTAGATATAGCTGAAATCTGCAATACAACCAATTCTCCTCGCTGTGGTCATTAGTCAAAGACATTAGGATATTATCTCTACATAGCTTTGAAAAAAACATGAAACTTCTCTGGGAATAATAAATATCGGCTGTATTAAGAGCTTTTTACTGTAATATATATATTTTTTATATAATTTGCTATATAAAGAAGATTTTCAGCTTGTTAATGAAACTTTAAAATAACACCTGAAAGATTAATCATTTTGGTTAACACCTTGGTGGTAAAAGTGATATGTTTTAGGTGTTTTAGCTATTCATAAAATGATTGATAAAAAAGTGAATGCTGCTATTTACATGTATAAACTTTTTGTGTTATTAGCATCCGGCACAAGTATGGACTTTATACTTATGGAATAAATCTTTGACATAAGTTGCCTTGGATAAGGCTCTGAAATTGATTCTTTTCTCTGAGATCACACAGATCAATATCAGACGCAGACCGATTCAAATGATATTGAATGTGCCGTCGTTGTAGAACAGCTTTGTAAAGGCATGTCAATTGTTTAGCTTAGGTGGAAAACTATAAATATAAACACTTTTTTGGTCTATAAACCTTCATTTGACAGATTTTTAAGTGTGGAGAGTTTGATTCTTGTTTTAAGTAAAGAAGATATGAAGGCTGTGCACTGTAAATAAGATTTTTACGTAAATGTTTATGTAGAGGGAAAGTTATTTTTTGACAGTCAAGCTATACTTTTGTGTTTCCAATATTGTTTAGCAGCAGCATGTGCAGGAGGAACAGGCAAGGATGAGAAAGCACTCAACTTGATATAAATACTGATTATACAATAAAAGACTCATTATATGGGTTGTGCAAATGTGGTCAAGTCTTTTCTTAAATTCCATAAGTGGATGCAGGTAAACAGCTATTTTATTCTAGTTACTGAAAATGAGGATTTAAAAAAAGGAAAAAAAAAGAAAAGTCACTCTAACCTGAAACTATAACGATGGTATGAAGAGGACTAGAGGTGAAAAATTAATGTGGAGCACATGAGCCGGATCTGTGCCGACACAGCAACGTTTCTGACTTTTAGAGCCAAAAGCGATTTCATCAATGAAAGTGTTTTTTTGTTTTTGTTTTTTTTGTGTACGTCGTTTACAAAGCAGCTAAAGATAAAAACAAAATTACAGTAAATTTATATTAGCAGATTAGTGTGTTCTTGGTAAATACATAATGAAATCCTTTAAACAGTTGCAACCTGACATTTTAAAGGCTTGATGATAACTGTTGGCTTATATAAAAACTGAGGATTGCATCCCTGTCCCAGGAAACACTGGTGTTAAATTATAGATTCCAGTTTCCCTACATAATTGGTTCCTGCAGGATGACTGGTGTTTCCTCATATAGTCCTGGTTGATGGACAGGTTTTAATTCATAGATATCAGTTCCTGCAGAAAGAGCTGGTGGGACACCACAAATATTTTATTACTACAGTAAACAACAGGCTCTTTTCATAACTTAATGAAGCCTAGGTGGCCTGATATAAAATAGTTCCATAGATATAAAAATTTGAGTGTATGATCATTTCAATAATCGATTAATCCGATGAATTGTTTCAGCCCTAGCCTGAGTTAAAGAAAAAAATGCTATTCCATATTTGTTTATATATATGACCCGGAAAATCAACTCCGCGGATCGATTTCTCTGTGATCAACTTGTCATCACTGAACTGCGTCATCTCTCTTCCTGCTCTCTGCACAGTTAGCTCGAGAGCATCCCAAAGCAACGGCTTTCTTTCCTCTTCTACAGCCATGGCGGATCCAAGGATACGAAATATTAAAATCAAAACAGGCGTCGTAAAGAGGTAAACGTTTATTTCACTTGAAACGGGTTTAGTTAGCTTTTATGGGGATCCCGAATGTGCATTTCAAATGCTAATGCTAGTAAGCTAACAGGCTAAGTCCGATAAAAACGTTCCATACATGGGACAGTGTTTGCCGCGTGCGCTTTTACTGTACTTCGATTGTTCGATGTTGGTTGGGCTGCTTGAACTATGTAGCTTACTTTGCAAGAAAATATCTTGTATTATTTTCTGTCGCTGTCGTGTAACGGTATTAAGACACATCTAGTCATTCGACTCTAGACAGTGACGGTTTTTTTTTTTTTTTTTTTTTTTACTGTAAGATATTATATTATGAAAAGATAACCTGAAGCCGCCAAAGTAAGCGGTGGGCTAACATGCTAGTACATAGCTAATGCCAGGTTGTGTACCCTGCAGTACTTTGCAGCAATTTCACTATGTATGTCTGCTCTGCTGAAAAACACGTTGCATTTAATAGTTGTCAATGTTTTCAATTGGCAACTATCTAAAACCTACAAAAATAATATGGCCAGAAAGAGCACTCCAAATATGTTATGATTGAAATCATTACTCAACATAAATACTCAATGTGTCAGCTGATGGTGTCAGAAATATAAATTGTTTGCTTATAAATAAAACGATAGATGTATTTATTTACATTGTATTGCGGCTATGAATTGAAATTTTAAACAAATGATTTGCTATGGAAGGAGTAACTTTATTTGTGAGACGCAACTACTTTTTTGTGTTTTAGAATAAAAAAAATTAAAATTAGATGTGGGAACGTGACTTGCTTTAAGGTTAATCAGAATCTGTACTATACTTTCATAGATTTCTTACCTTCTATAGTTTGGTGAAACCTATAATTTTGTTGCATCCACTGTTTGGAATCATTATTTATTTCACATAAAATGCACTTTAAAGCAAATCCATATTCAAGCAAGAAAAACATCCGTTTTTAAACAGGAATTATGTCTCTCTCTCAAATACAGAACATTCTGGAATAGTATTTTTTCTTTTACCTAGGATAGGGCTAAAACAGTTAATCGGATTAATCGATTATTGAAATAATCAACTAATTTAGTAATCGGTTAATCGTTAATTGGAGTGTAGAGACTCTAAAATATGCTTTTAGCTGACAAAGGAACCCCTTGCGAGCACTAATTATATCAAAATTGTAAAAGGATATATAAAAATTTTGGTGTTTAAGCTAAAAAAAAATGTTTTTGTCTGCCAGTATGATGTATCCAAAGCTCCTGAAGTGGGAAATTTTTTGTTTCACCTGGTTTAATTATGTAAATCGTAAAAAAAAAATCTCTAAGAAACCTTTGGCTGTCCGATTATTAATCCAAGAAATAATAGACACATTGATCGATTTGCAAAATAATCGTTAGTTGCAGCCCTAATTCAGGATATGTATTTGCAACATGTAAAACAAAATGTTTTTCTTGAAAAGTTTTTGTAGTATTCAAGATGCTACATTCTTAACTCACAGTTTCTGTGTCACTTAACGCCTTTTTGGAAAGAAAAAAAAACACCTGAAAAATGTATCTATAGGAAAAACTTGTGTTTAATACACACTTAAAATGTTATCCACAAGTTCATATACACAAAATTTAAAGAGAAATAAAAATGTATTGTGGCGTGTTTAAAAATCTACCTGTTAGTTTGCTGTAGACATTTTTGATAATAAAGTTTGTTTTGTGTGAAAATAGAAGATGAAGAATTGAAGATAAAAGCCTCCCTAAATGATTTAACGCCTCCGCTTTGCGCATCTTCCAACTCTTTCAAGTCACCTTTACGACTTCTGTGTATTTATGTTAATTCAGCTATCACCAGTTTTTTTTTGGTTATTTTTTCTTTATAAAATATTTTCATATCAATTAAAAAATACATCTTTTTTTCTTTGCTTCTACCTCTAATCTCTCTCAAACACCTACTGGTTGAACTTCAGCCTGTTCCCATAAGAATAAGGCATGTGCAAGAATAGAACACTGTTTTAGTTTACAAATCTTTCTTATACTGATATACCCTGTGACTTTTTTCTTATAACCAAATTTAAACCTTTTAGGAAAAAGACAAAAAAAAACATTGGTTTTATGAGAGGTTGGTTAAAAATATAGTAACACTTTTTTTGTGTATTTTCATTTGCTAAGGCAGACCTCCAATTCCCACCTGTTGATTGCATTTTGATTGTTTTAATAAAGTTGACAGTTTTAATGTTTATTAAGTTGTTCCTCCAGAAAAGTTTATGGAAATGAATGTAGAATGTCCTCTGGGTGATAATTTGAGTCAGAATCAGCTTTACAGGCCAGAATTGTACATACAAACAAATGACCTTACTTCTGTTCAGGTACTCGCACTATGAAGGCATTTCAGGACTTCCTTATAAGTACTAAAGAAAATAAAATGTTCTGTGAGCTGAGTGGTTGACTACTATGGCTGTATGGTTTTCATTGCGTTCATCAGAAAGTATGCTTTTTCCTGCATTTTGAGGTGGAATGAAGCTAATTTTTGTCTTTGCTACAACACTATTTTTGTCCTGATTATGGTAAATATGTGTGCTTGACTAGAGGTGGAAAATTAATAAGGAAGACATGAGATAACTTTCAGGTACAATATGTTTCATAGATTAATTGAAATAAACAGAAAGTGTAATGCTACGTTCACACCGCGATTTGAGCCGCAAAAAAGCACCTGCTGCTTCATTTAAGGTCAAACTCCCCTTAAGAACATCTTTGAAGCTCCAGTAAAATGTCTACAAATGCGTCCAAAGCTCTTGCTGCTCCTGTGTTCAATGCCAGTGAGCGGCTTTGCTATATTAGCCGTGTTACGTGGGCAAAAAGTAGTTTTTAATATATTTTTAAGTGAGAAAGCCCACCTCAAAACATTGTCTGTGCAGTCAGTTCATCAAGATTATGATCCTGGCTTAAAATTTTATGCCACGGTTGCAGGTGTGCACTCCCACCTACCGGCAGTACACTGTCACTGGGAATCCCCAGCAGCAGCTTCCTCAGGCTCAGTCATTTCTTGGCATTTTCCCCTACTGTTTGTGGCGACTGGAAGGGAATGTTAGCATTTTTCAGAAATGAGGTACAAACTGCAAGCACCAGGGTAATAAAAGCAAACATATTTTGCTAGCAGATTTGGACATTTTAAATTAATTTAGGCATTAATAAACAGTTTCAGTGGAATGATCATAGCGCTCTGCATGAGCAGTGCTTTCTGTCTCTTTATAGTATCTTATATCAATCAATCAGCTGCTCTGACTGATTGATGTGGCCCGTCCAGCAACAAAAGTTACATTTTTCCAACTCCAGCATCTGCTGCTTGTGAAATTTTAAACATTTAAGCCAAGTTTCCAGGGGAGAAAATAGTGTAAAAATTGTCTTTTTTTTTTTTTTTTTGTAAAGCCCATGCTTTGCTAGCTAAAAGCCTGTCAGAGGGACAGCGTTGGGGAATAAGCTGTATCTTTTGCAGATGCTATTTTCCAAAACCATTCTGTAGTGCCGACCTGAAAGGAAAAGTCTTAGTAATCCGTGTCCAGGATGTGTGGGGTCTGCAGAAACTATGGCTGCTTCTTTGCTGACAGGGTCTAAACCTGTACAGATCCTGAATATTCTTCTATGGTTGTTGTAGTTTTGGACCTATACTGTTTTGTGAATAACCCAAAGCCCACTATAATGACGTGCACAGGACGGATTGAATAATAATGTTGTTAAAATCCTGAATGCTGTCATTGGGAACAAGGAAGCATTGCAGTTACACTGAATAGATTCAGTCCCTTCCGACTGTATCATGCTATGTACGGTAAACTATTTTCCACATCAGGCGGGAGATGTTGCATCTCGATCCCTCTCATTTCCGAGACATGAATGTTTAATCAAACTCATAGTTTTAAAATCACAGAGTTGTTCTCTCTTATAAGTTCATGTTACCCCCCTCAGTCTATTTTCCTCCTTCCTTCCTCAGTCCCTCCACCTTTTCATACATTCAGGCTTTGGCTAAGCCTGCCTTGCTCTTTTAGCCGGGTCTATTTCCTGCAGCTTTCTCACATTCCACTCAGTGCTTCTCTGCCCTAGCGAGGCGGATGCCCTTAATAAAATGACAACAGTAATTTGCCTTTGTCATTCCGGTCGCAGCACAGACTACATCGTGGCTCAAAAATACAGTGCTAGAGAAGGCGGCCGAATGTGTGTGTCGGTCGGCTTTAATTCCCTTTTTTTTTTTTTTTCTATTTTCCAGAGAGCTGCCTTTTCCATTAAGTTAGAGGTGGCAGGTCTATTTAAAACCAGCCACGACCCCACCCCTCATTCACACAGCGCTCCAAGTCTGGAAGAAATAAGAAATTAACATCCGGACTGGAAGGTGGAGGAATGGACATTTTGTTATTAGACTGTCCTTCAGTTTTATTTAAATCATTCCAGCCTCCCTTCCTCCATCTTTTCCTCCTCTACGTGCCACCTTCTTCTTTCCAAACAGACGACATCACTCACTGCGCGTCAGACACGAGAGTGGAAGACGGGAGGCGGCGTTGCATATGGTGCCTGTTTAAAAGCTTCTTGATGGAACCGTATTACGATAAGGGGTAATTGATGTAAAATATGCTGTTGGCTTCCTTGGTTAGGCGAGGAGCAAGCGCAACACAGAGGCAAGGCTCTTCTGTAATGTGACGGACTAATGAAGGATTACTCACTTACACACAGCTGATTTTATGAAAAATGAAATTTGTGTTGTCATTCCGACGAGCAGCCGCAGCCGGAAAAAGACAATTAGATGGAAATCATTACTAATAGTGATATTTTCAAACTCTATTATGCCAATCAGGCCTTGAATCTGTGTAATAGATTTAGTTCCATTTGCCCTGTAATTGATAAATAATCAAAATTTATCAATGTACTCAAGCCCATTTTTACTCTGAATCAATGAAAGAAGGCCCATTTACCACCTGACTTGGTCCAAATTAGGGATTGAATTGATGATCAATTAATCACTAAAAAGGAGTAGTACTGTGTAGGAGTGTGAGGAGGAGAGATGGTAAAGGTGGATTAAAGGGCCAGCTAATAATATTAAGGTGTGAGCTGATGGTTACAGTAGTTACTAAGGACAGCAAACGGTTTTCTGTTTGCTTAATAGCTGCTAATGCTTAAGAAATAACTGGATATTAGGGATAATAGATCAGTTACCAATTTAAACTACAAATATTTGCCTTGAAATTTTTATTTTGAATGATTAATGAACAAGTAAAGACACATTTGTATGAATCAACTTATCATAAACTGCTGCATCTAAATGCACCACATTGTATTTTGCATTCCCCGCCTTCTCATTGATTTAATCGTATAATTAAGATCTGTTTCTAATATTGTAAAGCTCTGTTATCTCATTATCCCTAAAATTGCGTCTTTTTTTTTTCTCATGGTTTTAGAAGAATGTTTTTCATTGTTCAAACTTTAAGAAGAGAGCAGATGGCAGTCAAAGTCATTTGAAAGTTTAAGTTATCTTAAACTCTTAAGAATAAATAAATCTTCTATAAGGACTGTTGGTTAAATGTTTGCTTTTGTTTCGCAAACCTGAAATTTGAGGCACAGTAATTAAAAAAAAAAAATGTAGCTGCTAGACAATATAGAAGACAATACAGTGAAATAAAACAAATAGAGCTGTAGCCTTTGTATGGTGGTATAACTGCTCTAATTTAGTCTGGACTTGTTAAAGGGTCATGGACGTGTTATGTCAATATTATGTCACATTTTAGTTCTGGCTTTTTTTTTTTGTTTTTCATGCAAATTCAATCATTTCTTGATTTCCTTTAGGTGCATAGAAAATAATAAACTGGATGAAATAAGAATAAATGGAACCTATATTTGAGGAATTTAAAAAAGTCAGATTAGTTTTGAACACTAACAGAAGAACAGTTGCTAGGCGTTTGACCAGTTCACATACAATAATGAAATAAAAAAAATAAATTTGAAAAGTAATGTTAAAAATATTGATTTTTTATGAAGATTTTTTTTCCTGAGTTTAAAGGGTGAGGGGTTTATGTTTTGACAGCGCTTCTCATGTAGAAGTGCTAAATGTTTTAAAAACAGTTTCAACGAGCGATGCGTACACTCATTAAAAGTCAGTATGTCGGCTAAAATTTCAAACTTGATATAAATATCTTGAAAAATACTTATTACTTGATACTAAAAGTGGCCATATATCATTATTGTCAAACATTTCTACTCATGATAGAAATTTTGATTACGTTTACTGATAATCACACTTTTATGTAACTGGAGTCTGGGGGAAAAAAAGACAATTAAATTGATTTAAATATCTCTCTCCCAATTATCATGCTTTCTCACAGGTGCTAGTTAAGTAAATGTGCAAAAATAAGTAACCCAGAAATCTAAAATTAACAACAGCCAGAATAACCTCGGTCTTTGGTATCGATACAATGCCGGATTTGTATTGTATACCACTACAGGTTTTGAGTAGAGATACTTTGACGCCCCTTGTATCGCCTCAATTTCAGTGAAATTTTGACAACTTTCAGCATTTCTGGTGAAATGTGCTGGACAGGCGGCTGGAAGTAGGAGCACAGATGCCAGCTCCAACCATCTTCCTGTTTTCGACATATTTGTTTATAACAGAGTTTATAGAGTTTTATAATGCAAGGACGATATAAATACATGGTTTTTATTATCATGTTGACTATTTCATTGTATGTATATTAATATAGCTATACTTAGAAATGAGCATTTCTTCCTCAAAACACTTCTGTACCACCTTGCCAAAGTAGAGCTCTTCCTTGTACTAATTTATGAGCGCTAGTGGTGTGCTGCGGCAAATCACTGCTTATACAGAACAAGCTTTATTGTAAACAGTGGTTACAGTTAGGGATGTTCAATAACAAAAAAATCTATTAATCGCATGAAAATTTAAAACGAGACCTTTAACCTTTCTTTATCAGTTTTATTATTTTGTTGTCTCTTTCTTTCTAAAGAAAACCTCTTTAGAAAGCTCTCGGTCTGCGTACCAGCTGCTACTTTCAAATTTGTCGCTATGCTCTTAAAAAGTCGTGGTGAGAACCCTGTTGCTGGAATATCTTTATATTTTTAAGATAAGTGGAAAAATAAGAGATTTATCCTGATCTGTTTTTCCTTCTCATAAAGTAATTATAAAAAGGCTCCCTTTGAAATCAAAGCTTTGTTGAAAAAAAATGTGCCTCTGGGACAAAAACTTGTTCTAGTTCCAATGCCTTATTCTGGAGGCAGGTGGGGAAACATGTTTTGTCCATGTGATCAGAAACACTGATAAGTGTAAGGTTTGCCAGCACATATTTTGGCAGCAGTGAGGAAGAATGACCTGTTTGGAGTTTTGTTGCTGTGGTGTGTATCTTTACATCCTGTGGGAGATGATCTCGCAGTGTCCCCTCGGTCAGTGGAAGTGCATGAAGATTGATGGCCAAGTCTGTAAAAAGTGACCAACACAGCCTGCCTTTCATGGTTCAGCCCATATTGTGTCTCCAGTGTTGGATGTTTACCCCCTTTTTCCCCCCTCTTGTCCATTTCAGGCTGGCCAAAGAGGAGATTTCATACATAAATGAAGCAAAGCAGCAAGAAGAGAAAGTTGAGCGCGCGAAAGCTGAGGGAGGGGATGAATACGTCATCAAGAAACAGGTATTTAATGCTTACTTGATTCGCTTTAACTCCTAAATCCCTCAACACTATATGGAGGAGGGATAAGCGGATAATACAAAAATGAAGGAAGCTTGTTATACGAATTTTGTTGCCCTTTGAAATAAGGTCACCTGCTAAAGGAGATGATTGAAATAAATACTAAGATAAAAACAAAAAGATTACTTGCATTTTGTAAGAATAAAAAGCTGGAGATTAGATTTTTAAGCCATATCGCCCGGCCCTACATAATGGCTTGCTATATTTGACAAAGTGGGCGTTTGTTTTTAGGGCAGGCGCACCCGAGTTCAGGTAGGTGCTTCCTGGAGGAGGCAGGTGATCTTTACCCTGTTTTGCAGCTTTCCCAGGTCAGGGAGGGGCTGCTGCTCAGAGAGCAAAGCCTATGAGGGCTACACAGACATGCATGATTCCAGCTAATTAACACTTAGTAGGGGATTTCAATTAAGGAATAGCATAGCAGCCCAAAAGAAGTGGATTTTGTATTAAATAGATCCTTCAAAGGTGTACTTTTACTGTTTTATTACTTTGTCTTAATCTTCTACTTTTATTGTGTTTTTTTTAAACGTATATAAAGTTCATTTTAGGGCTGCAACTACAAATCATTGTGCTAATTGGTGTATATTATTATATTTTTTTCTGATTAATAATTTAATATCTATGAGAACTTTTATTTTTTATAACTGAATTTGAACGAGATGAAGTTAAAGCTTTGCAGATTGTTCTGGATAGAGCATATTACCAGACAAAGGTTTTTTCATCTTAAATTAAAAAATATTTATATATATTTTTTTTTTTACAACTCTTATCTCTTAACACATATGTTAGAGTCGCTGTGCTTCAGTTATCAATTAATCCGTTACTAAATTAGTTGACAGATATTTCAACAATCAATGAATTACAATGGATCCAATGAATTGTTTCAGCCCTACTGTAACATGTATAGTTTTGGCTTAATTGTTGCTCTGTGTTGGCTGTTCTTTCAGCAATGGGCGTATTTTAGTCTGTAAACCCTATTATTTATTGATTAATTGCAGTTAACCTCTTTAATTATAGCATCCCTAGTTATTTTTTCATACCTGTGTAGTGTGGGATCCACAGTATTTTAGAAATAAAACCTCTGCTCTATCAGAGATTGTGTTTGTTTGTTGATTCATGAAGCAGCTGAGCCTGAGCGCCAGCCTTAGTCGGTGTTAAATGAGTAGATTGGAAGGCCAGGTGGATTATTGAAGATGAGAGGTTTCTGAGACAGGATAGCATAGAGGTTTATATTTTAATGGAATCAATACGCTTTAAGTGTCATCTTTATCCCGTCCTGATGGGATCATTCCACTGCACCAGGAGGGCACCGTGACTTTCCTCCTGTTTCAGCATTTCTCTCTCGCTCACCTTGTCACATCTTAGAAGACAAACAGCGACTTGTCATCTACAGCGTGTCAGTGGAATGCTGCGACTCAGCCCCCCAAGGCTGTGCAGTGTCCATGCGAGACACTGTGTCCATGTTTTGACTTTGCAGCGCCGCAACGGGATAGGTGAGGAAGCATCTGTCAAGAAGGAGTGTGTCTGACGACGTTAGCCGACTCTTTTCTGCTCTTTGGGGTGCCCTTCTAGGGGAATTTCACATTAACGGTGGCTTTAAAGTTCCCCACCTGACTGTGTGGTAGTTTCACTACAGTCGCAGTAATACCTCTTTATGCCTGATCACTGTGCCCTCGCCCCAAGGTTTCTTCATTCATCCACGTGTGCAGGCAGATCTAGGTGGTCCCCCGCTGCACAGCTCTCAGTCCGATCAATAACTCAATAACAATGTTTCTTTTTTTTTTAAAGCAGCGCTGCGTTTGCGGAGACGTTAACCACAGAAGAGCATGTGTGGGATAACCTCTGTGTCATAAAATCCAGCAAAGTCAATCTGCTTGTACCTAACCTAATGTTCTAAACATGGGAGGAAAAAAATTACCATTCAGATTTAGAAAGTACTTGTAATGAAATGTTGACGGTAGAAGCAGAACTGAGGGGCTTTCTGATTAACAAAGATGGAACTGACGCTGATGTGATCTCTGTGAGCACAGATTGAGGTTCTGCAGGAGTCCAGAATGATGATCCCAGACTGTCGCCGCCGTCTGGCCATAGCCCACGCAGACCTGCTGCAGCTATTAGTAAGTATATAAATACTCGGATTTTCATTTTAATGGAAACCATCTAAACTATTAGGGTTCTAGAAACTATATATATATATATATATATATATATAAAATGTTACAGGATCTGTTTATAATTCAGCTCAGTTAAACACATATTTAATCGGAAACCATATATTGACCAAAAGACCCGACCATTTCAATTCAAACCCCCTTTTTCTCCCAAGCTATAGAATAATTACAGATATGACCATAGTTATACAAGTGTTTCTTGTTTTTAATCCATTATTTAGTTAATTTAAGTATCAGATTGGTTAAAAGTTTAAACTATTTAGCTGATTAAAAAACCTCACATTTACAACTTCTTTTGGAGACTATTTCTTTAAAAGCGTGAGTATTAATTATAGCACAATTTATTTAACTGAATATGGTAAAAAAGACAAAACTATATAGCAACTACGCATACTATATCACTTTTAGGAGTTTAACTTTTGCTGTAAACAGAATTTTAAGTGCCATTTCTAAAACTGACAGAATTCTGACAGTAGAGTTCAGCATGAATAATTGCCTGTCAGAGCTTAATATTTGCTATTCAATTGCAGCATTTAGTATATTAAAACATACAAACCACTGAGGCTACTTTATTTTCCTTAAGCCAGTTATTATGATAAACAATCCGTGTTACAGCCCACTTTACCTGGAAGTTGCTTCTGTTTTCAGATGTGGACTTAAAGCTCTGAAGCTCGTTTTCTGGTCTGATGAGGGCTGGTTGCAACTGTAGACATTAGCATTGTGAACGTCTGTGCTGCTGCAACATGAGGTCCGTTTTATTCCTTCCAGGTCGAGACTCTAATGTACACAACCCCTAACCACTAGATCCCTCAATCACTATATAGAGTGGGGAGTATATAGTGGACTTCATTGTGAACTCGTTTAACTTATATTTCGAACAGAGGTTCACTACTTTTCGCTCCCTGTTGGTCACTTAACTCCGCCTCCGCCACGCAGTGCCTGTGCCATGGTAGGTAACAGATCTGCTCAGGTGGTCAGATCTGCTCGGGGCCCTGCCCCTTCTTATGATGTCAACATATTTCAACTCCACTCGGACAAACTGTTTTGCACAGGTTTCTTAAGGTCCAAATCTCGTTTCGAGTCTCAACACCTATATTTACTATTATTTTACATTTCATTGGCGATCTAAAGTAGCTGAAAGTAGAAAACCATCATTGTCCGTCTTGAAGGAAAGTACTGCCTTCTAAGACTGAGCTCTGCCATTTAGCAAGGTGACACAAAAGTCTCAGTTTGTTTTTATTCTTTTATTAAGATCTTAGGGCAGTTGAGGACAAAGGGGACATCTTAATAACGACTTTTGTAGAGATTTTAGGCGAATAAAACAGTTATTCTGCTTGTAGAAAACTTAACAGTTGTTGACACGAAGTTTAAAGTAGTGTAGCTTATAGCTTAGATCTGGTACCTACACCATCTTTATTAGTCGCTGTGACGGCAAATCCCATAATGCTTTGCGAGGAGAGCTCTGCTCCAGGACATATCTGCTCATCTAGTGACCATGAATGATCACTACTTTTCAAGAGGCATTGTGGGAAATTTCAAGTCCACTACTTTTTGTATCCACTAGACGTTCAGACACTCATTTAAAATGGCGCACCCACTACATCGTGCCCTATATAGTGATTAGGACAGACTTTCGGACACAACCAAAGTCAAGAACGTGACGTAGCACACCTGAGTGTGACATCTATAAATAACAGGTAGGGAGCTAAGTCTGGTCTCCTGGGTTCCTCTCTTTGAGAAGTTCCAAGTGACTGGTGTGACTGGAAGTCATTCAGAGAACCATAGTTAAGTGTAACTTCAATTGCACTAAGATGGCTTTTTTTTTTTCATTTAAAAGAACAGCAGCCATCAATACATTCCAGCACAGTCTGAATAAAAAGGAGCAGAGAGAAGAACAAATATTTGTTTTCTTCCCCCTTTTTGCAAAACAATAATAACTGATAATTTAACTGAAATGCAATACATTTTAAGGTTAAATATCCCCAGTGAAACACTTGTGATCCTATTTGGACATCAGATTTACAGGTGTACAGGAAACCGTGAATACAAAGGACTTCAGTACAGTGGAATCCGCTTTTAGTGGTCACGGATATAGTAATCAACCGCTTATATTGATCAAAAGGCTTGGGACAGAATAATTTCTATACAAATGCTGTTTAAATAATTTGTTTAGTAATCAAGATACCAGCTTATAGTGTTCATTTTTGGCCATTTTCTGAATGTAAACATGCGCGAAAATAATTGTAAAATTACGTGTTCATCGCCGAGATAGAAGAGCGCTTTGGTGCAGGTACAGTGCTGCATGCAGTGAGGAGGAGGATGATGAAGAGGAGACTGTTGTCCCTTCCAGAGCTGAGATGAGGAATGCATTTTGCATATTAAAGACTGCTCTCCTGCATGTTGGTTTCAAAAACTTTCACCTTTTACATCGTTTTAAAAAAGAAGTGAACTTGGTGTTGGACAACACTCTGATCCAGGGAACCATGGATAAATATGTTAAGTGTTTTCTTAATGCGGCGTAGCAGATCCGCAACACAAAACAGACGTAGGCTAGCTTTAATTTACAGTAGTCTATGCAGTTATCTTCTGTTTTTGTTCTATGAAACTGTTTGTTTCTAACTTTATTTTCAGACATGTTAAAAAAAATGCACAGGCGGCACAGCAGAGCCAATGCACAGAATAAGCTGCATAGGCCTACTGTAGGCTATCAGAGTTATCCGCTGCTCAGTACTGTGCTGGGATTAAGCATTCGTTTCAAACTTTATTTCGAGACTTGTTAAAAAAATGCACACACACAGCACATAAGTTACGTAGGCTACCAGAGTTATGTCTGCACACAGCACAGTATACTGTAATTAAACTTGCATGGTACTGTAATAACATTCTGTAAATGCAGAAGCTATCCGTGTCATTTCATTTAAATAGTTGAAAAGCCACACAAATGGCATTTAGATGATATTCTGCAAAAAAAAGTGAAATAACGGTAAAAACGGTTTTAGTATTCAACCGAATATAGTGTTCAAATTGGCTCTGGACCAATGTGATCACTATAAGCAGATTCCACCGATTTGTTTAAAGCAATTTGTTGCTGAGATGTTTTTAACTTGTTTAGAGCCACATTATTAATTTAAATTGTTAAATTATCAATCCTTATAAACATATACTTCAGCAATATAAGGTACTCAAAAGGGCTGTTTATATATATATATATATATAAAAACTTGATTTTAGCATTTCATTTAACAAAAATGCATAACTCGGGTAATTTGACTTCCTTCCCATTTAGTTTGCAGTTTTTGCTCCTTTTCCACCACGTCCACTTGGCCTGGAAACCAACTGTTTTTATTATTGATTTTCCCCTTATTTTAGATTTTTACCTACTTCTGAGCTGGACAAAAAATACCGGGACTGAAAATGTTTTCCTCATTGTAACAACAAGCTTCAATTTATTTTATGTGAATTTATTGTGGCTGTTTTTTTTTTTAATGGAATTTAAAATAACAATATTGCCAAACAGGTCCCCTACAATACCAGTTTAAAATCATGAGTCAGTCCCTCAGACCAGGACTTTAACTAGGCCATTCTAATACATAGTTACGTTCTGATCTAAGCTGCTCTGGATATATGTTGATGATTGCTGCATTGCCGGAACAACAGTGTCGTCTTTAGCACGTTTACTTTCAATCGTTCATTCATTAACACAAGATAGTTCTTCTGAAATGCAACAAACTTTCTCTTAGTAAATTTCAGTTATTGTTTTGATGCCTCGAATGAAGTGAACTTTTTAATATAAACAGAAAACCTTACTCTGAGTTAATTAGCTTCCGTGTGGTTCTATCTATAAAAGCATGCCTAAACCCTGGGGATTTAAGTTGATATGGCGAGAAGAAAACATAAGCATGCGTGGCTCCAGGTCATCTCAATTAATGCAGAGCAGCAGCCGGCCAGCTGGAGGTGTGAGTCACCATGAGGAGAGCGCCAAACGGTAGGCGACGGGAGCGAACCTGAACTAGAGAGATGTGTCCCCTCTCCTTTAGCTCTTCCTCCCTGAGACGGACATGCACATGCTCATCACAGTTCATTAGCAGCGCTGTCACCACGGTGACCACCACAGGAACTCACATGTACTTCAATAAAGGACAGCTTTACAGTCATGATATCCCTCATAGCGACTGCTTTACCACCAAATATAGGTTCCAGTAACTACTTTCTTAATGGAGGTGACAAACTGCACAGTATAGATTTTTTTTTTTTAAAGCTATGAACAATGCGTTGGATTGCAGTAAAAACAAACCTGTGTGCTTGTGTTTGTGTCTGCCCAGGAAACAGAAGAGGATCTGGCCGAATCAGAGGAGTACAAAGAAGCTAGAAACGTATTGGACTCAGTGAAGCTTGAAGGATAATTTCTGTCGGCTTTCTGCCCTCACTACTGGATCCGCCAGCTTAAATGTCCATTCCGTTCTTCAGGCCTCCCTCAGAACCACAGAGACCAACAGAATCAAAGTGTAATCATTTCTGCTATTTACCTGTAACGTGCCATCATGTTTCCCTGCGCACACATCCTATAAGTATACAGTAAAATTTGGGGCTTATTAATGCAAGTAAACAAGGTTTCTAAGCTTTCTCTGGATAAAATCCACTCTATTGGTCCATTTACTTTTTTGAAGGACACTTGGTTTGAACCATTGTTGAATTCTCATAAATGTTTGATTTTTGCCTTCCATTGGCTCATATTTTTAGGGTTCTGACTTTAATCAGCCTTATTGTTTCTCAGTAGGTAAGAGATGAGGTTAGAAAATATTCTTTTTAACGAATAAAGTTCCAGATATGCACTATAAAACAACAATGTTGATTTTCATTTCCTTTTGAATGTTAACTCTAGATCACTGAAGAATTGGATGGTTTAATTGCATGCATACACCTGTTGGTGTTCCTGTTAACTCCACTGAACTGGATTTTTGTCTTGATGCTACCAATAAAGACAAAAGCTCATTGGGAAACCCTGCCTCTTATGATAAATGTTGCTTTGTATCTGAATGACAAAACAAGCAGGTCTCATACCCCTCCTGCGCTTCCATTTATTATTCAAATGGCCTAAAATAACGACACCTTACATTAACGTTGAGTGAGTCCTTCCTAAATAGTCATACTAATAAACGGACTCAATTGCCAGACAAATTAAGGTTACATTTGACTTGATCCTTATTTTGCAGATTTCGATAATTATCGGGATCACCCCAAAGTCTCATTACCGCCCTAATGAGGCGCTGCTACTCCGTGACATCCACCCCGCTCCGTCTCGTTAAGGAAATCGCTCTTCAATGCTGATTATTTTATTTGGAGGTATAATTATATTTCTTTCGGATAAATCACAGCCTAATCGAGTCCGTGCAGGAGGGCACTGGCACTAATTGGAGTATGAGATGCAGCGGCGGGGCGCTCCACCTGCGGCTGGTGTGACCAGGAGGACCTCAGGCAGGCTGAGCGCAGCTTGGAAACACGTGGCTCAGGGGCTCTTCTGTGGGAGGGGGGAGAAAGAAAGAAAGAAATGGAAGAACTCAATCTAAGATCCCGCTTTCAGATTTATTGAAGGAGGACCACAAATTACAGCTCAAAGGAAAACTTTTGATCCATTTACTTTAACAGTGACGTGTTAGACGAGTAAAGTGTGCAATGGGTGGTAAAAATGTAGTTTAAAGCCTTAAACCAATTGGGTTGCCCTAAAACTAGAGTAGAAATGTAAAATGGCTAAAACATAGTAATGCTATAAAATCATAATATTAAAAACAAAAACAATAAAAAAAAAAAAGAATCTTTAATTCCACTAAGTGTAGACTCGACCTAAAAACCTGTGTTTTTGACAAGTTTCAACCTCTTGCCATGTTGGCACTTTTTAAAACCGTTTCTAAAAGGTAAATAGTTTTAGCTCCTTCTAAATACCCCAATTAATTTAGCTTTTAAAAATTAACCCTCAAATGGAGTATTCCCTTATTAACATGCATTTCAAATGTACCGGTAATGAATAAAATACTCCATTTATCAAGCTTTGTTTCTATTATTCCCCACAATATGGGAAATCAAGAATGAAGCCACACGGGAGGGAAAATGGGTTAGAATTCATTGACTGAACAGAACTTATTTGTTAGCAAACAATTACTAAATTATTTAATATATAATTTATCTATTCACTTAATTTTAATCTGCAGACACAATTATTAATTGTACAAAATGAGAACAAAGGTACTATTTTAACATTTGTATTAATTCAACCCACAATCATCCCTATTTACATGTAAAGGGATAAAGTTTCATACAGCCTCGGTCCTTAACTTGTTTTATGGATGCAGAGGGCTTTTCTGTTTCTCCCTCAGCTGCGGTCATGAATAACAAGCAGCTTGTATGTGTCACAAAGCCATCTGGGTTGTCCTACATGTTAAAAAGAAGCAAAACATATAACCAGTTTGGATTAGAGTATAAAACTTTACAAAAACGGTACAAATGCTAGGATTTAGATATTTATCATGTCAACCAAAGTGAAGACCTGCTTTTTGCATCAAATTGAAGCAACTAGACTTACTGGCAAGCAGCTTTAACGCTGCAACACTGACACTTCACTGCTGATATAATGTGTATTTATATATGTATATATTATTCTCTCATTGTACAACTAGGGGTGGGTATTGGCAAAGAAGTCATGATTTGATTCGAATCACGATTCACATGCCACGATGCGATTCTATCACAATGCATCGCAATATTTTCACTGAACACTAAGAAAAAGATACAGCCATTACCAGTGACTGACTGGCTGGGTATGATCTGGAAAGTGTCTTCAATTGATACATAACTGAAAGCAACTGAATTCATACATGGCTGTATTTATTGAAACGACTTTTGGAGGTGTTGCCATGAAAGCAAATTCTGGACAGAAATATTACTATTACTGGTGTGGACACACTGACCAAAAGATCTTAGGATTTATAAAACAAAATGGCAAAATAAGGATAATCAGTGCCATTTACATGGCCTCAGTGGTCCTTTTGCAAATTACATTCATCATATCAATTTCATTTTTACCTTCTTTGTTTTTAAAGCCAAAATGCATCCAAGCAGGGCAAATTTTCTATATTTTGTTTACGAATGGCTCGTCTCAGTATCCCGCAACCGGAAATGCTTGTGACACAAAGCAGCAGGCGTCAACACATCCGCAGCGACATCTGCTGGACTGGAAGTTGTATTCCACTTGGTTTGGCTGATGTGCGCCAACCATTAATGTATTTTATTTGGTAATTTTTTTTATTTTTTATAATCGATTCTTGCCTTCAAGAATCGATGCAGTAGATCACAAAAATTGGAATCGCGATGCATCGTCATGACGATTATTTTGCACACCCTTATGTAAAAACCCAAACCTTTTAACCTTGCAATTACTTTCTGAACTCTGTACAAAACCAATCAACTAATCCACTGTGAAAGATCATAACTACACCTTTTTTAACAGTTAGTTAAAAAAAAATAAAAGTATAATTTTTGGGAGGGGAAAAAAGTGTACTTCAGGTTATAGTGCCAAAAGGAAACATTCAGAACCAATAGGATTAGTTTGAAGTCAGAGACAGAACTCAGGTGTTGCCAAATCCTGGTAGCTCTGTTTCTCAGATTAGAAGCCAAAAAAATCAGGGTGGACATTAATCAAGCTTTTGAGAGTTAGTGCTGATATAAGGAAGAAAATTAGCTCAGAAGCAATGTGGAGGTTGCAGATTTTCTTATAAAATTGTTAAGTGTTGGTACAGATTGGGAGCACAGCGACAGAGCATGACACCCATGTACTGAGGCTTTGGGTTTGGGTCACAGGTTAGAGTCTTGGCCTGGTAACCATTGCTGCATTACTTCCCCCTTACTCTTCTCCAATTTCCTGTCTACATGCTTACAAACATAAAGGCAACTAAAACCTAAAAAATGGAATAGAATGAGAGCAGCAAATGCAAGTGCGCCACTTACTGGCTGGGAGGAGTGTAACTTGATAATGCTTTTAAATTGAAATATTGTTCATGCAAGTTATGCTATCACAGTTAAAATGGAATTAATTTTGAACAATTATCTTAAACATTTATGTGCTTGACCACTTTTATCCTCTTTGTAATGACTACTAACTTTCGAAATTAATTTTTTAAGTGTATCAGTTTTTCTACCAAGGATTTGATCAGATTTCTAAACCCATTTTCCACAATTTATTGTAAAATCTTATTTCAATTGTGAAGTCAGAAGAGTTGATATATTGCATAGGATAGTAGACCTTTGGCAGCACAACCTTGAAGCCTACATTCATACATTTCCGTCTTTTTAACACAACAGAGGCCGCCACCGTTTTACGTCTGTCAGGTGTCAAACTTTCTTGCATCAGCTCACAGCAGCAGCCAGTGGCAGCTGTTCTTCTCCTCCTCACCACAGTAACTTCATTCCTCCTGGAATCCCCCAGACTGTCACTAAATCAGCTGCATGAAACAAGAATCTCATTTGTTGAACTGGGAGCATGCTGCAGATGGAAGATCGATTGTTTTTCTCCTCAGAAATCTCTAATTGAGTGAATACGGACTGCAAAGACTGCAGGCAGCAAGAAACCAACCGCTCTCTGGTCTGTGTAACCAGAAGGTCATGGGTTCAAGCCTGACCAATCACAAATATGTGGTTGAGGTAAGAAAAAAAGGAAAAAAAAAAGGCCTCTGAGGATGTCTGGCACATTAGGTGATGTTTTGCTTTTTTTTTTTAACACTGTAAAAACGTATTTCAACTTTTAATTTTTCATCTGTTTTGTCCAGCTGGAGATGTGTACATATAAAGCTAGTGTTTACAAAAGCAGTATCATAATTAAGTTTGTCACACTAGTAAAATAAATAAAAGGATTCTGTCAATGCAATAATTTAAGTTAGTATCTCTCTAGTTTAACTCACCAGGTTGCAGTTTTTGATAACAGTATTGTGGTGCCTTATCCAGTGATGGCACAAGAGCTCAACTATAAGAACAAAATGGATCAAACAGAAAACAATATATATATATATGTATATATATATATATATGGCTAAACCCTATGGCTTTGTATAATGCCTCTTAAGGTGGCAACTGATTAGAGGATTTTGATCTGTTCAGAAAATACAAGGCTAACAGGTTCCCTGTATGGTTTAAATGTGAGCAGAAGCTGTTAACCTTGTAAGGTCTTAATTGTCAGAAAATTATTTTATTTCTTGTAACTAGTCTTCAATTTTAAAAATAGATTTTAATTAAATTGTGTCGTTTGGGATGCACTCTCTGCTATATATATATATATATATATATATATATATATATGTGTGTGTGTGTGTGTGTGTGTGTGTACATAGTATAGAAAACATATAAATATAGAAAACTGTGTTGGAACACTGATCTAACCCAATGTGCCAAAAATCTAATCTGTTTGGAATTAAAAAAGATTAAAATTGGTTTGAATTCACTTAATTAATAGAAGCAATTTCCATCTGTTTTACTTACAAAATGACAACTCAGAAAATGTTGCTAATTATTTATAGTGTGTTTTCTTTTTTTGGCTAAGTCCTAACAGATCTTTTTACCAGTGTAAAAGTTGCTCTCATCCCCAAAGCGCCTAAAACGAAACCACCCACCCCACACAGATGTGCTGCATTAACTTTGTCAGGGTATCAGTTGTTCGGTTGTCTGGGTGCACTAGAAAAATAAATACATGTTAAAAGATAATTCTTGCAAATATGTTTCCAAATAATGCCAACCTTCATAAAGTCTGCACAGTCACCGTGCAATGACCAGAAGTCTAAAGGTGCTGAATACCAGGAAAATAATGTGTTACATTCCTGATTAATGGATAGATTGAAAGCCATGTTCCTTCCTGTTTATTTGCAATTTCATCGCAACATTGGTTAATTTTATTTAAAAAAATATCTTGCACCGCTTGTTGACCATTAAAGAATACAGAACATTTTAATTGTGAGGTGTTTTTTTTAATTTTATTTTCTGCAGACGCATCATTTTTCCTGACATCTCATGATCTGTTCTCTGCTGTTCAGGTTAAATAAGAGCCGCTGCTTGGAGAGGAGTCATTCCCAGCCGTTTGCGCACAGCTATAAAAGCGTGGCACTAGTGTAAAGTCGTAAAACGAAGCGCACAATCCATCATCGCGCCATGTGACGGATCTAAATCATCCTCGATGTACCCGGTGCGCACAGGCACCGCGCGCTCTTTGGGCCAAAAACTAGGAAATATGCGCGTAATGATAATTATAACCCCTCCTTTTATTTTAGGAATATAGCAAAAAATATTCAAGAGGAAATAACGACCCGAATCCAATTAAAGCTGCTTCTAAATAAAGAAGATAAAAAAAATCTAAATTAGTATTTCCTTTAAAGAGATGCAGAAATGAGCGCAAAAGGCGCTCTAAACATCCTCCATCTATTCCCCTTTGGTGTTCTGCCACCAGATTGCAGACAAATAAAAGATGAGCAGCAGCAACCGGAGTCTGGACGGATGGAGAAAGAAAGGAACCCCGGGCTTCACGCTCGGACGCCTCCATTGTGGCGCATGATAAATAAATCTGCTCTCTGCCGACATCTGTCTCCAACATGTGTGATTTTCTTTACTGAATGCGTTGCTGACTTGTAGGCTGTTTGTGTGCATGAAAAATCTATTGTGATTATCACGTTTGCGATGATTTAGAGATGTAAAAATCATTTGTTTTTTCTTTTGAAAAAAAATAATATTATCCTTCAGGCAATTTTTTATAGCGGGACAGAATGGAGAAACAACTCTGCAAATGTCACCTTATTACAGAAAAATGTATTTGGTTAATTTTTTTAAAGGGACAATTTATATAAAGCACATTATCACCATGAAGGCTGAGCAACGTGCTATAATAATAATAATAACCACATAAATTAAAATAATATAAATAACCTATTGATAATAATGGATCTGAAAGGTTTGCAATAAAAATCCTGAAATAATTATCAGTTTCAACACTATCTTAAAGGGGCAGTGAGATTAATTCAACCAGGAACTGTGCAACTCCACTAATGAAACAAACTGTCTAAATCAAATAAACAGGTTTTAATCATATTGCATTTCAATTATACAGGTTTAACGAAAGCTAAACTAAATTAGAAAATGCTGTTTTTAAAATGTTGTAAATCAGTTTCATAAATTCCCCACAAAATATTCTGATATGTTTGCTCTGTTTTACCCTTCTCCCTAAAGAACAATTGAAATAGTGATCATATTTATCCTTAACAACAACTAAGAAGGACTTATTACAGGTGCTAAACGAGTCTAAGATATACGCACAACTTTAATTCTTGAAACTTTTCAACTGGTTTTATACTTTTATCCATTTTACAAAACATCAGCTTTACTGTTTTCTGCTAAATATGAAAACATTTGTAAACATGTGAATGATTTAGATAGATACTGTTTTATGAAAAACAAAGTTCTGTTTTATAGTGTAGCATTTGGCTCTAAATGTGCTTGCTGTGTGTATAATGGGTATTGTCTACTCCCTGGAGCACCAGAAAACTTGTTTTAGCACAATTAAGAGATCCTTTAGTTTAAACCCTTATATCGCCTCTGTTCATAGCCTACTAAAATCATAAAATTTTTTTTACAATGTTCTATGTTTTCCAATATTAGTTAATGGATTTAATTTCTGTATTGGGCATTGAGTAAATTACAGAAAGTTATAGAAAATTAAGAAAAGTTGAAATGTATGCTAAAATGCAGAATATGTGTACTTATTGGTCATTTGTGCAGATTTTCTCTGCATGAATAATTCCACACCATGTTCCATTGGTCTACACTATAAAAATGAATTTTGGAGGCTACAAAAGTTTAAATATGAAAAAATAAAGTAGAATTTATTTGTGAAAAGTTAACTGAACTTTATTGATCTCACATTTGAGAGATTTACCTCGGCATTTCACCCATCCCCTATAGGGGAGCAGTGGGCTGCCATTGTGGGGCACCCAGCGAGCACTGCAAAAAAGAACGTGACCGTTTTTAGTATTTGCTTAATCATATTTAGTTACTTTAACACAAATGTTTTATGTCCTATCCCGCTAACATGAAGCAATTGTATTAAATTAACTAAATATGACTAAGTTGCATTATTTTTCAGCAGTGTGGGGTTAAGGGTCAGAGACCCAGAGTGGCATTCTGTGGGAGTGGGTTTTAAACTCACAACTTCAGGATACCAAGCTAACCCTAACCACTAGGCTGCCACTCCCGCATTTTGTTAGATAAACGTAAACATCCAACCAGATAAACTGTTTTGCTTAAAAGCCCGTGCTAATTATCTTTATTAAATTTAACCTCCATTGTTACAAGTATGCAACAAACCAAGACGACATAATGCCAGTTATCACATATCGAATTTGCTCCTAGGAACTCTTGTTTCTGGTAAAACTGGTCCCTATCATTGACCATCATAATTGTTGTCAGAAATTTGCAATATGCCTACATTTCTGTGCACTGTTTTGCAGAATTAGTCAAAGCATCTCAAGTTGGAAAATTCCTAAAGGCAAAACGTTGGTATGCAGCCCTTGAGAGAAATACATAATAATATTCCGCTAGTAGGAGTTAAGAACTGATGAATAGTGGATAAGAAAGTTTCTCTCGTGGAGCTAAAGTCTACATAAAATCTGAGCTGTTTTAATGCAGCACTAATAGCAACATCAACCTCACTCCATTTAGTTTTTTATGAAATGTATCTCTGCGTCATTTTGCTATCAAAAACACCAAATTCCTGCCTTGAAATCATCATTAGAATCCATCTCAGATGTAGTCTATATGCTAAGTTCTTGAATTATAAGTTTCTTTTTAGGTGCACTAAGAATTAGTAAATTCTACAGCATTAAATATGTAGAGTACATTGACTCTTTTACCGTTATTACAACAACAACCAGAGTAAGATATACACTATGTAGAGAGTTTCATTGAACACTAATTAAGAGAGTGACCAAATGCACTTGGATGGTGTTAAATTTACCTCTTAGTGTTACTTTAACATTGCAAAATTTAATGTGTGAGCTATAATTGAATTTAAAATGTTCTATTTGGATTTAATTCCAAATGTGGTCAGAATGTAAGGGTTATTGATAATTAATCTATTATTTTATTGTTGTTTATTATTTTCTTTCATGTAGCTCTATTTAGTACCTTTTTTATAGTGCATGTTTTGCTTTTTGTGCTTAAAATGGTCATAAGGGGTATCAGTTCCGGTCGGCTGATGTCATTGAACGGTTCATAGTCGTGTTTTGTTGTTGAAATGCTTAATAATAGGTGTATTTGTGGCGCCCCTCAGAGTGAATAACTCCAAAACTCGCTCCAGTTGCCTACATTAAAAAGAAAAAAAGAAAAAATAAGGGACAACACACGCAATTAAACAAATGTTGTGGTCCAACATTTCTCCAACGGGTCGAACCTCGACTTCAGATATTAAATCAGGTTATTTTATTGGCTGTAATTTGGAGGAGAAATCAAAGCCAATTACAGGAACGAGGAGGAATGAAGTAGTGAGAGGCGCGCGGATGGATGAGGAGGAGGTGGGAGGTGGGTGGTATGGGCTGGGCTGGGGGCTTCGGCTCTGATTGGTCCTCTATTGGAGGAGCTCATGGGTTCATTCCGCCTCTAAGCGCCTCCCCGTTCCTCTAAACTACATTATAATGCAACGAACCTCCCTTTTAACCACAAACCGAATTTGCTTTCATTTAGGCCATATATTTTTCTTAAATAGGTTAAAGTCATAGAGATTTTTTTTTGTTGTTTTTTATTTATTTTTTTTAGTTTTCGTGTGTGGGAATAGCATTTCGCCCTGGAGCGGTGCGCAATGCTTTCTCACGCCGACCTCCTGGATGCTCGCCTCGGTGAGTTATCATCACCAAACTCCGGTCTCCAACTCTACTGTAAGCTGGAGGAACTTCTAATCTTAAATCAAGCTCAGAAAATTGTCCAATTTGCTCCATATATTGTCCTAATGTGCCTGAACAGAGCTAAATTCGCCTAATGATTGGAAAAGTAATTATTATTATTATATTACGCTTTAATTTGATTTAACAATTTTCTAAGATCTCAGTGTGCTCGAGTTGATTAAAGAGTATTTAAGGAGCAGATTGCAGTGTGCATGGTTAAAAAAGGAGCTAGACGTTGATGTTTAATGTTTTTATAAGATGGTTTAATGCATGCGTAAAATAATGCTTCAGTTCTTTCCAATTGAACATTTTCTCCTGTAATGCATTTTTCCAGGTGTATCTAACCATGTTGTTTCTCTTTATAGTTTCACTCTATAAGCTTGGCTCTCACCTGCTCTGCTTGTTCATGTTCAGGGATGAAGGATGCCGCGGCGGAGCTCCTGGGCCACAGGGAGGCTCTGAAGTGCAGACTCGGCGGCGGCGGACCTGACCCAGGACACTCCGGGGAGCTCGGACCCGGTCCGGACGGCGTGGAAGGAGCCACTATGCTCCCCGGTGACGACATCAGCGGCGGAACCGGATCCAACCCGGTGCAGGTTAACAGCAAGGAGCAGGAGAAGCAGCAACAGCAGCAGCAACAGCAGAACAACAGCAGCGGGAACAACCCGAACCAGTCCGGAGGGCAACAGAGCCAGAAACAGAAGCGGCACCGGACCCGTTTCACCCCGGCGCAGCTCAACGAGCTGGAGCGCAGCTTCGCCAAAACGCACTATCCGGACATCTTCATGCGGGAGGAGCTGGCTCTGCGGATCGGTCTGACGGAGTCCAGAGTTCAGGTGGGCCGCACAGAAATCTGTTGTTTTAATGTAGGCTATGTTCCTGTAAAAATAAAACACTAAAACAACAACAGTTGCTGAATCAAAGGGAAGAGCGCTATAATTAATATGTTAACTGATAATAAACATTTGTCTAAGCGGCGCCTTTAATAATAAAAAATAAAAAAGGTAAATTCTGTGAAAAAAAAACAGATATAGTTTTATTTGATGCAATAAACTTAAAAGTCCTCACCAAGAGCACTCCTTTGTAAATGAATCCGAGATAAATTAAAATAATCTTCAGAAGAAAGCAGCAAAAAAGAAAAAAAAAATCCAAAATAACTAAAAAATAATAATTAAAAAACGATTAAAACATCAACGCCAAGTCACTAAATTAGTTTTTAAATCTACATTAAACAAACAATATAAATACTTAATATTCTTGCCGCAGAAAATTAATAATCCCAAACTGCTTCGTTGCAGATGAATTTCTCTAATCTGTTATAATTTTGAGAAAATAATAATATAAATAAAAAACTAAAATGTTAAATTTTGTCACCTTAAGGTTGGCTTATTCTTCTTATACAAACAAATCTGCGCCTCTTGTGGCTGATTTATTCATAAATTTTATTTTCTCCATTAAATAAAAGTTAAAACTAACAGCAAATGATACCAAATGAAGAAATAATTTCCTTTAACCAAACAGCACAACTTTGTTTTAGCGCTCGAGTTTAAATATTATTTTTCTGCTGTTCGTGGATGCAATTCAGAAACACAGATTTTATTCTTGCAATTGAACTTGTATTTATAGCAAAATAGTATAATATCAATAATGAATACAAAAAAGTGAAGGACAATGCTGCTTCTCTTAATATAAACACTGTAACTATTATTCAACTCATTACTGAAAGTCGTTAACTGCATATTATTAGTATTTTTTTAATATTTTGCTGATTGTAAATATTTAATAATTCATAGCCTTTCTAAAAGGTTTGTGCAGATAAAATTTATTTAAAAAAATCCCTTGTAAAAAATCATAGGACTTAATATCAAATTGCGTTTTCTTTTTTTAAACCCTAATTTTATAGGTATTTAACCAAATTGCAGTGTAGCAGGGCTTCTGCCATTAATTCAGCCTAATTAAGATTGCCCTACATTTCCTGCCCATCCCGTATAATGGATCTACAGGGACCCAAACACTGATAGCAGCTTTATTACAGTCATTTAATGGCCGCTGATCAGCACAGTCATGCATTTATTGCATCCTCAGTGTTATTTTATAATTTGCTTGTACCTATAGGCTACTATCGCTATCGCTTTTTTGCTATCTGCAGTCTTTCCAACACCGACTCTCCTGCAGAGTTGGGGAAAAAGCCGCATTGTGCATTTATAGGCTTCTTTAGCTGCTCCCCTGTGTAATAATATTCTAATAATCATTATTAGCATCGGATCGGCCCATCCAGTTTCCCAACCATTTGCATAAAATGAGAATTAGTGAAATGATGCTCATCCGCTCTTATGATGCGGCTCAGAGTGAGGCAGAAATGAAGGAAGGTGTTCAGCAGTGCGCCTGTCAGCGCGGCGCGCGTCTTAATGCCGGGGCGCAGCGCGCTCTGTCTGCTCAGATCCGATGAGAGATTGCGTTTTCTTTCTGCCCTGCAGAGGTGTAATGCATTTCAGGTCGGATTTCACGGCTGGCTTCGTCGGGAGCGAGATGGTCCCGTTCTTATTACCGCGGCCCGCTTTCTCAAGCAAATCTCCACATTAATCACAGACAGCTACTGCTTACCAGAGCCAACTATTGATTTCACCTAGAATATTGTCTTTGTTAGAGGCGTGTGTGCGCTGGAAATAAGCAGCAAACGAATTATGTTTATTAAAAAATTTTTGTTTAAAATTAATATTTTACTTTTTGCATATTTTATGTAGCCTATCTTTATTTGTAGGGGGCTAAAAATAGGTTTGATATTTCCTTTTCAATGTCAAATAAAAAGGAAGAGGAAAGTAATTGATTATATATAGCCTATATATTTATTGGATTTTATACTTCCAGTCTATTGGCAGGCTTTACAATGGAAAAACGATCTAGAAATAAGTAAAATATCCTTAAATTAAGTGTATTTAGCCTTAATTTGAGTGAGTAATGGAATGAGTATTTTTACTCTTAGATAACATGCAAATGAAATAAGACAATGCAATTGTGTTTTCTCATTTTAAGCGTAAATTTTCTTGTTCCATTGGTAAAATGTATCTTTTACCTCCTCAATCCAAGAACAAATGCACTTATTTTAAGAAGAAAAAAAAGACTTATCTAGATTTCGATTTTTTTCCAGTCTATATTGTTTCCCTTCAGCTAATTTATTGCAGCTTGCTGCATTATGGTGATGATCACATCATTGTTTCATGGCTGCATGTGTCAGTGCATCTTCTCCCTCTGACTCATCACTGTCTGGTCCGCAGGTCTGGTTCCAGAACCGACGCGCCAAGTGGAAGAAGCGCAAGAAGACCACCAACGTGTTCAGAGCCCCGGGGACGCTCCTGCCCACGCACCACGGCCTTCCCCAGTTCCCCTCTGCAGCGGCCGCAGCGGCAGCTATGGGCGACAGCCTCTGCTCCTTCCACGCTAACGACACCCGCTGGGCTACAGCGGGGATGCCCGGCGTGTCTCAGCTCCAGCTACCGCCCGCCCTGGGCCGTCAGCAGGCCATGGCGCAGTCTCTGTCCCAGTGCAGCCTCGGCGCGGGGCCTCCGCCCAACTCCATGGGTCTGTCCAACATGTCGTCCAACGGTTCCGGGCTGCAGTCGCACCTCTACCAACCCACGTTCCCCGGGATGGTGCCCGCATCCCTTTCCGGCCCGACCAACGTGACCGGCTCGCCTCAGCTGTGCAGCTCCCCGGACAGTGACGTCTGGAGAGGGACGAGCATCGCGTCGCTGCGCCGCAAAGCGCTGGAGCACACAGTCTCCATGAGCTTCACTTAGTGCCGGGGCTGCAGCGACAAGAGATTTTTTTCTGCATTTAGTTAACTTGCATTCAGTCGGAAAAAAACAAACAAAAGCAAAACCAGGATACTTCTCCATCTGCAGGCAACTGGCTTCTTATTTTCCTCCTCAAATATAAGGAGAAGACGCGCTCTCCACCAGGCCAGCTGGCCTTTTATCAACCACAGGGCTGGTTCCGTTTAAAGCTATAATTTATTATTTCGCATGTGGCCTCTGTCTATTTATTTATCTATTTAAATTAACTTATTGTTTTGTTTGGTATTTTATTGGGCACGGACCCTCTGTGACTGATTGTTTTCTTGAGGACACATTCTGGAGATGCTTCAGAACACAACAAGGTTGGGAATTTCTCTTTTTGCTCCTGCTGCCAAAGGGCCAAAGGGTTGCACACTGGAAAAACAAAAACAAACAAACAACAAAACAAACAAGCAAACAGAAAAGCACTTGCTTGGAGGTTTCAAAGACTGAGAACTTAATTTCCCCTCCTATCAGGAGAGAGAAATTATCTAAAAGGAATCCGGAAAACATTGACTGCATGTCAGAAAGCAAAATATAATAAAAATAATGATGATAAATAAATAAATGACACAAAAAAGGAAGAGGGAGGGGTACTTTAATTAAGACATGGGAGCTGACTTAACTATAACCTGTTCTATAGGATGTTTTTGTGTAGCGGAAGCACTCTTGTTCCCATTTGGTCAGTTTGTGATAACCTATGTTTCCAGAACTCTGTCTGTGCTTATGATCAAAATATGCCTTTCTTAAATGTTGGAACCATTTTGTTTCATGGACATGTTTATATCAATTCAGTGTAAATGAGCCAATAAAAATCATTTTCAATAATGTCACAACATTGATCAACCCTCCTTTCTTGAAAACTGGATAAACACTCAAAAGGTCAGCATAATACAATTTCCCCCCTTTTTTATATTTTTAAAGTTCAGACCACTAGTAAAAATTCAGCATCCTTAAATGCATCTTTATGTTTTGGTGAAAAGCTGCATGCAGCCAACTATTGTGATTCTATTATGAAAGCAGCCCTTCCTTCTGAACTCCCCAACACAAATTACACAGAAATCTCCTTTATGCTTTTAATGGCGACAGACACAAATATAAAATAATCTAGATAATTTGGATTAAAATATTTTTTTTTATCTTTTTTTGTCATTGCATGTAAAAAAAATACCAAAAACAAGATTTTTTTTCCCATTTAAATACTGATGAAATACAGCTAAAGCTCTTATTATTATATATTTAGATTCTTAAAGGGTGGCATGTAAATGTTTAACTTGATGGCAAAATTGTTCCATTCATTGGTAATGTCTGTCTGCTTCGTGTAGGTTTTCCTTTAGTGTTAGCATTGTGACTAAACTGTCTGAATCTGGATGAAACTTAGATTCTTATTTCAAAAAAATTAAAAGTTCTTAAATCTAAATCCCTGTGATTCGTAAATTTTATCCAGCTGATATCTCCATTCATAAGAATTTAGACTTAGACGACATTTATTTTTTATTTTGTATACACAAAGTCTATAAAAAACGAAATTTCGTTTTTTACAGCTCTCATGGCATTTCCATTTTCTTAAAGTGCAGCAGTGATTAAATGTAAACATTCTGGGGAAAAAAAACATGGTGCAAAAAAACCCCCACATTGATATGTTCAGTTTGATGCAGAGTCTGTGACATTATTTAGAGTTTTTTCAACATTTAGCTGTCTGATGGCGGTGGGGGAGAAGCTGTTTCGGAGCTGCATTGAATGCTGCAAAGCCTCTTCTCAGAGGGCAGCAGGGAGTCCATAGTGGGGGTTTGAGGGGCCACTGATGATGTTAAACATAAGACATAAGACATCCCATTATTATTATAAGTGTTGGATGCTACGTCAAATGAAAACGCAGATTTTTTAGTTTGATAAAATTAATATTTTTTTGAATTTACACATTTTGAAGCAAATGAGTCACAAACTAAAATACTTTAACCTAATTTAAAGAATTTCAATTTTAAAATATCACTACCGGCATTGCTATCAGTTTGATCTACCCTCTCCCTTTTGGCTGTCAGAAAGAATAAGAAGCTCAATCTTTTTAGGGGCATCAATAAAGGCTTTTCCCCCCCTTAATAAGATGTGTATACTTCCTCTACGGTTTTGCCAAATAACAGAGCCATACCATAGATATCACAAATTTTCACCACGCTCACTTTTATGATAAAAGTTGTAATTTTGCCACTTTATTAACTTTGCAGCACACAACTGCTGCAATCAAAGAGGACAACTGTGCCAATTGTTAACTTCCATTATGTTCAACCTGACTTATCTACTTGGAAAAAACTTAGTAACTCTTGGAGGTTCATCATGGTTAAGTAACAGAGAAAAAAAAAAAAACATTTCTATTTAAAACAAGTTCCTGGATGTGTTTTCTAAACACTAACATCCAAACGATTTTGACTAAATTAGGCAAATTCAATCCTTGTTAGCACTAACAGTAAAATAAGTGCTTCTTTTTTCTTTTACAAACAGAAATCATTCAGTAACTCTACCTGATATGCTGTAAAGACCACGACTATGTAAAACGCCAATGAGTGTAAAGACGGAGTCAATAATTATAATTTTTCATTCAGAATTCAAACACTCCATATAAAAGTCTAAAAAATGGCGTATGACAGTATAATCTCTGAGGGCATGTTTGTTTTGCTGTTCTTTTATAACATTTTCACCTGAGCTGCGAGCGTTTTGGATAATTAAAAATTAATTTAATTATTCTTCACCAACGCTCAGGTATGTGAGGTGAAGGCAGACTAATTAATTTAGCATGACTGGCTCTATATGCTAACAGTTTCTGCGTAGTTGTTATGGAAAATATATCAAATGTTTACCTTAAAACTAATTGATGTGTACTACACGCAACCACACACAAGAAGGTCCTGGGTTTTAATCTTCCATGGATGTGCATCTTGCAAAATTGGCATTTACTTAATCATACTTAGATACTCTAACACAATTGTTATATGCGCTACCCTGCTAACATGAACAATTGTATTAAAGTAACTAAACATAATTTAAGAAAATATAAAAAATGGTTGCATTATATTTTTTTTTTCAGTGTAGTTGGTCTGGCCAATAAATGTATGCATGTATAGGTGTTTTTTTTTAGCTGTCTTAGCACCTAGCTGATTAGTAACATAACCCCCAACCAACAACCCAGCAACTATAATCATGTGTAGACTTGGATGGATGGATGGATGGATGGATGGATGGATGGATGGATGGATGGATGGATGGATGGATGGATGGATGGATGGANACTTATCTAGATTTCGATTTTTTTCCAGTCTATATTGTTTCCCTTCAGCTAATTTATTGCAGCTTGCTGCATTATGGTGATGATCACATCATTGTTTCATGGCTGCATGTGTCAGTGCATCTTCTCCCTCTGACTCATCACTGTCTGGTCCGCAGGTCTGGTTCCAGAACCGACGCGCCAAGTGGAAGAAGCGCAAGAAGACCACCAACGTGTTCAGAGCCCCGGGGACGCTCCTGCCCACGCACCACGGCCTTCCCCAGTTCCCCTCTGCAGCGGCCGCAGCGGCAGCTATGGGCGACAGCCTCTGCTCCTTCCACGCTAACGACACCCGCTGGGCTACAGCGGGGATGCCCGGCGTGTCTCAGCTCCAGCTACCGCCCGCCCTGGGCCGGCAGCAGGCCATGGCGCAGTCTCTGTCCCAGTGCAGCCTCGGCGCGGGGCCTCCGCCCAACTCCATGGGTCTGTCCAACATGTCGTCCAACGGTTCCGGGCTGCAGTCGCACCTCTACCAACCCACGTTCCCCGGGATGGTGCCCGCATCCCTTTCCGGCCCGACCAACGTGACCGGCTCGCCTCAGCTGTGCAGCTCCCCGGACAGTGACGTCTGGAGAGGGACGAGCATCGCGTCGCTGCGCCGCAAAGCGCTGGAGCACACAGTCTCCATGAGCTTCACTTAGTGCCGGGGCTGCAGCGACAAGAGATTTTTTTCTGCATTTAGTTAACTTGCATTCAGTCGGAAAAAAACAAACAAAAGCAAAACCAGGATACTTCTCCATCTGCAGGCAACTGGCTTCTTATTTTCCTCCTCAAATATAAGGAGAAGACGCGCTCTCCACCAGGCCAGCTGGCCTTTTATCAACCACAGGGCTGGTTCCGTTTAAAGCTATAATTTATTATTTCGCATGTGGCCTCTGTCTATTTATTTATCTATTTAAATTAACTTATTGTTTTGTTTGGTATTTTATTGGGCACGGACCCTCTGTGACTGATTGTTTTCTTGAGGACACATTCTGGAGATGCTTCAGAACACAACAAGGTTGGGAATTTCTCTTTTTGCTCCTGCTGCCAAAGGGCCAAAGGGTTGCACACTGGAAAAACAAAAACAAACAAACAACAAAACAAACAAGCAAACAGAAAAGCACTTGCTTGGAGGTTTCAAAGACTGAGAACTTAATTTCCCCTCCTATCAGGAGAGAGAAATTATCTAAAAGGAATCCGGAAAACATTGACTGCATGTCAGAAAGCAAAATATAATAAAAATAATGATGATAAATAAATAAATGACACAAAAAAGGAAGAGGGAGGGGTACTTTAATTAAGACATGGGAGCTGACTTAACTATAACCTGTTCTATAGGATGTTTTTGTGTAGCGGAAGCACTCTTGTTCCCATTTGGTCAGTTTGTGATAACCTATGTTTCCAGAACTCTGTCTGTGCTTATGATCAAAATATGCCTTTCTTAAATGTTGGAACCATTTTGTTTCATGGACATGTTTATATCAATTCAGTGTAAATGAGCCAATAAAAATCATTTTCAATAATGTCACAACATTGATCAACCCTCCTTTCTTGAAAACTGGATAAACACTCAAAAGGTCAGCATAATACAATTTCCCCCCTTTTTTATATTTTTAAAGTTCAGACCACTAGTAAAAATTCAGCATCCTTAAATGCATCTTTATGTTTTGGTGAAAAGCTGCATGCAGCCAACTATTGTGATTCTATTATGAAAGCAGCCCTTCCTTCTG